CCGGTGGGTTTGAACCACCAGCCTTCTGGTTAGCAGTCAACTGCCTTACGCACTATGTTACCAGAGCTCCTATTTGGGGACAATAAGTGGGGCCATAAAATCAGATGTGCATGATCCGTTGAATGGAAAACAGGTTTGCTTTGTAAATTTGCACCCAAAGCACAATTGAAAAAAAAAAAAAGAAGAACATCTGCCAGCCCAATGCTTTTTACACATCCAATTCGGTGGCATTAATTTTACTCACCATGCAGTGCACCCATCACCACTATCTGCTTCCAGTTGATGCCACCACCATGAACAGAAGCTCAAAGCTTCCTAAGCAATGGCTCCCCCAGGTGCCCTCCTGCCCACACTTAGCCACTAAAATGCTTGTTTTCTGTATCTTTGCCTCTTCTAGATATTTTAGATTTAGATACAATATCTGTGGTGTTTTGACTGACTTCTTTCACTCAGTGTGCTTTCAAGGTTCATTCATGCTAAAGCATTATCAGAACTTCATTTCACTTTGTATGTGTGCATGGACCACATTTTGCTTATTCATTCTTCTGCTGATGGACGTTTAGGTGGTTTCCCCCTTTTGGCCATTGTGTATAAGTATCTGTTTGCATTACTGATACTGTGCAATTGCTGAGTAATACTGTGATTCTATGCTTAACTTTTGTACTATTGTAAAAATAAACATAGCACACTTGCCAATTCAACAGTTTTTTACATGTACAATTCAGTGACATCAAGTACATTAAGCTTTTTGCCCAGCTATGATCAGTGTCCATTGCCAAGTTACTCACCATCATAAACGGATAGTCAGTGCTTCATAATATGTTTAACTTTTTGAAGTACCATCAAAACATTTTCCACAACAGCTGCACCATTTTACAATCCCACCTGCAATGGGTAATGGTTCCAATTTCTCCACATCCTCAGACACCCTTGCTGTTTTTCCTTTTTCTGATCATTGAACCACCAGCCTTCTGGTTAGCAGTCAAATGCCTCAGGCATTACACCACCAGGGCTCCCATAGCCATCATAGTGAGAGTGAAATGATATCTTGTTGTTTTGACTTGCATCTCCTTAAAGACTAATAACACTGAGCATCATTTCAGGTGTTTCTTGGCCATTTATATTTCTCCTTTGGGGAAATGTCTACTCAAGTCCCTTTCACATTGTCTGATTGGACCATTTGTACTTTTTACAGTTGCCAAGTTGTAAAAGTTCTTCATATATTCTAGATGTTAAACCTTTGTCTGATATGTTGGTGCAGTTGTTAAGTATTTCCAGTCAGCATAGGCTCATAAGGACCACATTTACAAAGGGTTGAAACAGTGTCTGGTCTAGTGCCATCCTCACCATCCTTGCTATATTTGAACACATTGTTGTAGCCACTGTTGTCAATCCATCTCATTGAATGTCTTCCTCTTTTTCATCGACTCTTTCCTGTACCAAGCATGATGTCCTTCCCCAGGGACTGGTCCCTCCTGGTAACATGTCCAAAGGATGTGAGATGAAGTCTTGCCATTCTGGCTTCCAATACACATTCCAGATGCACTTCTTCCAAGATAGAGTTGTTCATTCTGTTGGCAGTTCATGGTACGTTCAGTATTCTTCACCAACAGCATAATTCAAAGACATCAATTCTTCTTCAGTCTTCCTTATTCATGATCTACCTTTTGCATGCATATGAGGCAATTGAAAATACCATTGCTTGGTTCAGGCACTTTTTTTTCTCAGTGACATCTTTGCTTTTGAACAATTTAAAGAAGTCCTTTATAGCACTCATCGGTTTCCTGTACTCTGCTGGCTTGCATGTTGCTGTGATATTGAAAGCTATCCCACGACAATTATGTCATATATGGACCCCCAAATTTTCCTCCATTCTATAGGTCATCTCTTCATCTTGAAAGAGTATAAAGTCACTTTGATGAGGCCCAATTTATTTGTCTATCCATTTTGCTTTTGGTATTGTATCTTATTCATTGCAAATATGCTTTTTTTTTCAACAACATACATGGTGACTTTACATGTGGGCCTTGCCAGATGAAATATACAGGAATCAAATTGACTACATTTGTGGAAAGAGACATGGAGAAGCCCAATATCATCAATCAGAACAATGTCAGGAGCTAAGAGTGGTACAGACAATTAATTGCTCACATGCAAGTTCAAGTTGAAGCTGAGGAAAATTAAAACAAGTCCATGAGGGACAAAATATATCTTGAGTATACCCCACCTGAACTTAGAGACCGTGTGAAGAATAGTTTTGTTGCATTAAAAACCAATGACTAAAGAAGGAAGGTTGGGTAATCTACTTCCATAGTGATACTGCTTCGGAAACCCAAAGAGGGGTCGCTATGAGTTGGGTCCAACTCAACAGTACATAACAACAACAACAAACAAAGACCAGACTAGTTGTGGGATGACACCAAGACCATCAAACGTGAAAAAAAAAAAAGGTCATTAAAAAGAAAAAAAAAAGAAGAAAGATCAAAATACATCTCAGAAGAGACTCTGAAACTTGCTCTTGAACAGAGAGTAGATAAAGAGAATGGAAGAAATAATTAAATAAAAGAACTGAACAGAAGATTTTGAAGGGTGGCTAGAGGAAACAAAGTAAAGTAATATAATTAAATGTACAAAGACCTGGAATTAGAAAACCGAAAGGGAAGAACACAGTCAGCATTAATCAAGCTGAAATAACTGAAGAAAAAATTCAAACCTTGAGTTGAAATATTGAAGAATTGTGGTGTTGGCCAACATTACCGAAAATACCATGGACTTCTGGAAGAATGAACAAATGTGTCCTGGAAGAAGTGCACCCAGAATGGTACTTAGCAATGAGAAGGCCAGCCTTTGTGTCCTGTATCACTCATCTATCCATTTGTCATACTGTGGTGGCTTGGGTGTTGCTGTGAGGCTAGAGGCCATACCACTGGTATTTCAAATACCAGCAAGGTTACCCATGGTGGACAGGTTTTAGCAGAGCTTCCAGACTAAGACAGACTTGGAAGAAGGAAGGGACCATCCACTTCTCAAGGAATTGGGTGTAAAAACCTTATGAATAGCAGTGAAAGACTATCTCATGTACTTTGGTCATGTTATCACAAGGGACCAGTCCCTGGAGAAGGGTATCATGCTTGGTAAAGTAGTGGGCCAGCAAAAAAGGGGAAGACCCTTAATGAGCTGGACTGACACCATGGCTGCTCAAATGCAGCAAAGTTGTG